TGACATGAACACAGTGATTTGAGTATAACTTATTTCTAAGTAGGTCCTTGGAGTAGTGCTTTCTTTTTCTCCCATGGTGCTAGATTGAACCCAAGCCTTGTACATGGTAGGCAAATGCTCTACTACTGAGCCACAAACATGTTCCAGCCCCCTTAGTATAGCTTTCAAAAAATATTTCTCCCCAGTCATCCATAGTAATGAGTGAATTCTAACTCAACATAAGTACACTAATGCTCCTAAAGGTAGGTAGACCTACTGTTGTCAGGCATAGGAGGCTTGCAAATTTTTCTTTCAAACATAATAAACAAAAATGTTACCAATTTGTCCTCAGGAAATATGATCAAGAAGACATCTGTTCTATTTATCAAAATTCATACATCTGCTTCATTCTTTTCCTTTCATGGTATACATAGCTACCACCTCTCACTTCCTGTTTCCTTGCTTTCAAAGAGAGACAATTAAGAATGAGATACTTTGGAAAGAAACTTTAAAAAAATCCATTTGCCACACAGAAGTGAGACTCAAGAATCATAAAAGAGGATTCATTTTCATACTTATGACTGTTTCTGAAGTATTTTCTGAGCACTTAAAGAGACATCAGTAGAGGGAGAAATATCTGAATTAATGATAAATTCTTGAGGACTTTATCAAAGATAATTAAGGTGGCACTCTAACAAAACAACCAGAAACACACAAATAATATACAAATATATTTATTTCAGTATTATTTATAATAACAAAAACTGGAGCCAATCTGAATGTTCTATAACAGAGGAATGATTAAACAAACAATAATACATACATGTGTTGGATTAGTAGGCCTGGATTGAAAATCGTGTTTTATAAAATAGTAAATGGCATGAGGAAATGCTTGCAATATGTTCAGTGCAAAAAAGGATGCATATCCATATTCACTATAATCTCAACTAATGACCCTAAATGCTCAGATTAATCTTGGATTAATTTTATATTTTGGCATTTTCAAATTACAATTATAATAAGCATATTACTTTTATGGTAAGGGAAAAAGAACCCTCTTTAATAGTGAAAAAATAAAAACAGTAATCTACTTCCAGTTTTCCAAATACAATTACTATGAACATATTATACTGTTATGGTGGGGAAAATGAAACACCTATCTTTTTTAAAAGCAAGTAAATAAGGCAACAAAGCTGTCATGAATTTTTCAAAATTATGACAGCCAGTAAGTTCAGTTCATTTTTAGTTTCAAATTGTTTATCAGAGCTAAATATTTGACTTTATTAGAAATTTGATTCCTCGCATTTGTCTTCTAATTATCTTCTAATATCCTCCAATTATCTTCTAATATCTTCCAGTTATCTTCTAATATCTTCCAATTATCTTCTAATATTTCACAAAATCTAAAGAGCTTCTAGGCTAGGGTTGTGGTTCAGTGGTAGAGCTCTTACCTAGCACGTATGAGGCACTGGGTTCGATTCTCAGCACTGCATGTAAGTTAATAAATAAAATAAAGGTTCATCAGCAACTAATAAAAGTATTTTTTAAAAAATCTAAAGAGCTTCTAAGGAAACCATGGCAGATATCATGTGTTTTCTTGTGAACATGCTCACTCACCACAGACCAGTGCTCTTCGATTTGTAGGTACTCAGGGTTTGTAGGTACTGGCTGCTTAGTGTCTTAGTTATGAAAAATGTGCTCACTTAATTATAAGCCAATCAGCTTTCCATTGTATCAAAAACAAATCTAGGGGGCTGGGGTTGTGGCTCAGTGGTAGAGCACTCTCCTAGCACGTTCAAGGCACTAGGTTTGATCCTCAGTACCACATAAAAATAAATAAATAAAATAAATGTATGTGTCCAACTACAACTAAAAATAAATATTTAAAGAAAAACAAATCTAGGTAACATTGATGATTTTTCTATATTGCTATCTTCAGTATGGCTTGACTTCAAAAGACCCAGTGGCTCTTTGCCACTGTAACAGATAATAAATTATAAATAAATCATTCAGCTGTGAAGTCCAAAGAAATTCTGAGAGCATTCTGAGGATTTTTAGTGCCTTAATGGTGTTTCTTTTTACAACATTGATGGCCCATATTTATTCATTTAGGATAAATCACTTAAATCACTAATAATCTACTCTGAATAATTCCTTGAGATAACATCAAGAAGACAATATCCATACCTGGAAAATAAAACTTCTCTCTTAATTAACTACCTCACTCTTAATAGTTAATTAATAATGATTGTGAGTTTTCATTGAGAGAATATCAGAGATAGTTGGGCTTTCCCATTAAGCTATAGTCTTTAGATAAGGGAAGGTCTACAACTATATTGTACCATGTTTGCAGTGCAAATTCTGAGAATGCCAGACAAAATTCAAGGTTTGGGAGAAGAGGAGGAGTTTTTTGAATGATGTCACCAGGAAGTGGATTTATATAAGCAGGCAAAGCTTGGCAGGTTGCACTGGACTCTTCACATCATCTTTTCTGGAAAAATGTGAATTGCTCAATAAGCCCTTGGTTTCCCCTGAAGTAAATCAGCTATGAAATACAGTGGGGAGCTTCGGACAATGACTTGTGCAGAGTTACACACTGTGACCTCCATTCACAGAACATGATTCAGTTTCAGACCATCGAAAATAACATTTTATGAAATGGTTTGAGTCCTTTCAAGGTTATCACTGTTAAGCAGTTCCTAAAAGGCATAAAATTAATCCCTAAGAGGTACACCAATTCATTTAAACAAATTAACTTTGAACTAAAAAAAAAAAATCACTTTGAACTAAACACCTGCAAAGAAAAGTCCAATAACACTACTACATCATGCTGCTTTATGGTCTTATAGAAATGGTCCTCGCTGAAGCAATAAAAACTTCCAGATTAATCCTTTACATTTTATGGGAATTAATAGCAAACTAGCACAATCCCAACATTTTGAAATTTTGCTGTACACTGAGCATAATGGGGTTTTGCTTTAATGTACATGTACTTATTTGTGTTTAATTGTTCTCAGATTAGAGCCAATTTACAGAATCCATTGATTTGCTTGCTGGGTGCTTGGCACATTAAAAATTCTGTTACAGTCTCTTTCACTTTGCAACACCAGATATTCCACGGAGATTGCTTTAAATTGAAAATATCTTATCCTTTTTTCACAAAATAAAAATATCAAGCAAGTTTTTGGTGTGTTTTAGGACTAAATAGTATAGTTACATTTGAAGATTGGGATTCAGTAAAATGAAAAACTTTCATGATTAGAAAATGAATAATTACCTTCAATCATCCCCAGAAAGTAGATGCCTGTGATTCTTCCTGAGTGAGGTCATGTGGATAACTACTTGACTAAGAATCCAAGTTCAAGGTCTCTACATTGTTTCAAAAGCATTATAGAAATATGATACCTCCACCCCTCACCCAGTTCCTTATCCTTCTCCAGTGCAGGGATTCATCACAAGCCAAAGTTGAAGGAGTTCACAGAACCTTAAACAAATGTCCAGTGAATAAAATCTATGACATCGGCTCAAAAGGAGTTTCTATAAATTTTTCAAAAAAGAGAAATTGTGCAAATTTCACATGCACTTATCCAAAAATATCCAACATGTGTTTTTCGTACAGTCAACATTTGACCATGAAAGCACAAATTTAGTATGCTGATCAAGATTAAAGGAACCATTAAAGATCTTTCTGGAAGAGCCAGAATGATGTCTTTGTTGAAATTGTGCCTAGGATACTTGAATAATCTTATCAATTCCGGATGTCAAAAAACCCCACTGAGGATTGACCTAACTTTTAAATTATTTTCAGAATTGCAGTAACACCAAAGGGCTGACTCTACAGTGTAGAAAAATGTTAGCTCAGAGACAGAAGTGTGTTAACAAGCCAGGGCAGCATATAGATTTGATTCCTTTCCCTAGTCATCCTCACTGAGTTCCCAGGATGGTCTCTGAACCTGCTTTTGCCTGAGACAAATGAGACGTGATTTCTTTAAGGACCTGATTCAATTTTTTATTACCCATCCTGGGGATAGATCTGTAATGGAGGGGAGAAGCCTGATACCAAGATGAAAGCATAGGTTGGGAGTTAAAGGGGAGAAGACGACTGTGTCTGTTACTACTACATTGTTTAAAAACCACTGACCAATTTCTCAACTCTTAACTGTTCTAAACATTTAGCCATATAGATACTATAGTAAAATTCCATTTTATCAAAATAGGTCAGAAGAAAGATCATTTTTATTAAAATTGTGTTTCTGAGAAAGTGGAAAATACCAGTTTAATCTAAGAATCTGTGTAGAAGGGAAAGAAGAGAATCTGTTCCATTTCGATAACTATAATAAAAGCCAAAATTACTACTTTTTTCCCTTTATAAAGAAACTAGAATATTTTTTAAAAAAAATTTGTTAAAATCCCCCACAAAGTACCTGAGCTCCTATAATTCTCTTACTAGACATTAGCTGCCATTTATATTAGAAAAAGATTACATAAGATTTTTTGTTTCACTCATTACAAATTTGGTGGATTTCTTATTTTCTAATCATGTTTGTGCTGCTAAGACATCTTGTTAATCTGAGCCAGTTAACCAAGTCCTGGGTAATTATACTAGTAATTTGTAAAGGCTGTGATACAGGCTGGTAATTTTTACGCTGAAAACAATTATTTTTTCCAGCCAAAGTTAAAAGTTTTACCACATGTAAACTGAAGCTGTCAGAAATGGGAACGATCAAGGCAGAACATGGATAATAACTGTTTACTGTCACTCCTTCCACCCCAGGAAGAGCTCAAAGTACACACCTTCTTGGTAATGGAACTGACCTTTTCAAATATTTCTCAAGAGAAGCAGGAATTTACTAAACTGAACTGCATGAAGTAAAACAGATGGCTCTTGAGACACCTTCCTTGGGTGATGTTAACATTATGACCAAAACCAGTTTTTGAGAACTATAATAAAACAAGTCAGTGCAAACAAGAATGATGTGATGATGATGATCTTTGTCTATTGATTTATGTTTATGTTTCAGCTATTTGAGAAAGTCAAAGAAGTTTGTCCAAAAGTGCATGAGAAGATTAAACCTATTTATGCAGATCTCAATCAGAAGGACTTAGCCATCAGCAAAGAGGACCTGCAGGAACTCCTGTGCTCTGTCAATATCATCTTCCACTGCGCGGCCACTGTACGCTTTGACGACCCACTGAGGTACCTTCCCATTTCCCCCACCTGGCTTGCAAGTGTGTGTGCATGTACACATGTGCATGTAAGTTTCTTTATGGTTTCTGTAAGGGATATTTTAAAAACTAACAAAAAACCCAGCTGTTCGATGAAAAAATTATATACACAAAGAAGCAAATCTCCAAAATCCCATCATCCAGAGACAACCACCTATTGTAGAGAACATACAGTCCAACTTTTCTTTTTACGTCTATTATTATATGATGTTTAACTTTACAAAACTATGGAATCCTATTGAGAATGATATTTTGCAATCTATTTACTTATAATTTGGATGTCTTTCATTTTCAATAAATATTCTATAGTTGGGAGACTGAGGCAGGAGTATTGCAAGTTTAAGGTCAACCTGGCAATTTAGGGAGACCTTGACTGGAGGTGTATCTCAATGGTAAATTGCCTCTAGGTTCAATTCCCAGTACCACAAAAAAAGTTGTTACAATTTGTAATGATTATGACATTCCATTGTATGTATATGTAATATACTCAACCAGTTCTGTATTGATGAACTAATTGTTCTAATTTTTCATTATTATAAACAACTCTGCAGTGAACATCTTTGTTTATAAGTATGTATATTTGTCTATATATTTGTGTATAGATTATTTTTAACTCTTTGTTTACTCTCTATGGAGTAAATTTATAGAAGTAGAATTTTCAGATACATATTAGATGTCTCCAGGTTATGAAAAGTTTACATTTTTACCTATAACACTAATTCCTCTTCAAAAGGTAAACTTAACATTGTTCCTGTGTACATGAATGCTTGTTTCTTATACTCAAAATAAGATATGATTTCTTAATTTTTTTTAATGTTGCAACTATGATAGTAGATATGGTATTGTATGTTTTGATTTTTATTTCTTTGATGATTGGAAAGTTCGACAATTTTTATAGGCTTATTGACATTTTATTCTTTTGTGACATGCCTATTCATGTTCTTTTTCCTGCTTTCTACTGAAACATTTTTCTTTTTAATTTTGAGGTTTCTTGGAAAATTCAGTACAATATTTTAGCAATTTTTCATTTGTCTTTTAAATCTTTATTATTTGTACAATTTTTATAATTTCTTCTATTGTATTTTTAGTTTTATTTTTGCATTTAGACATTAGATCCATTTAAAATTTAACTATATACAGTAATAGAAAAAATCTACAAATGGAAAAATGATGTAGATGTGAAGGTGGAGTTGCTATTTTTTTTCTTCCAGATGGTTAGCTCTTAAACAATATTTATTAAATTATTTATTTACATTCTATCGAAATGAAACTCTTGTGCTCATTTCCTTAGACTCTTTCTTAGGCTTTCTTTGCCAATACCACACAGTTTTAATTACTGTAATGTTTATTATATTAGGGCAAGTATCCCAGAGCACAGCTTTTTTTTTAAAGATAGACTTTATTCAGAGAGAGAGAGAGAGAGAGAGAGAGAGAGAGAGAGAATTTTTCAATATTTATTTTTTAGTTCTCGGCAGACACAACATCTTTATTTTATTTTTTTTATGTGGTGCAAGGATAGAACATGTTCTTTTTCCTGCTTTCCTGCTTTCCTGCGGGCTACAGCTTGAGCCACATCCCCAGCCCCCCAGAGCACAGCTTTTTAAATCGAATTTTCTGACTATTTTCAATTGATTGTACTTCATGTTTACATTTAGAATAATTTCTACAAGGTTTTAAAAATTTGGGGGGAGTTTAATTAGCACTAACTTGACTATGTAGATTAATTTAGAACACCTATTTAAAAGAGTCTTTTCATTTACTTCATTAATTAAGTTTTGTGTTTTGTTTTGTGGCACTGGGAATTGAACCCAGGGACCCTCTACCACAGAGCTACATCCCCAGCCCTTTTTATTTTATTTTGAGTTTCCCAGACTAACCTCACACTTGCTATCCTCCTGACTCAGCCTCCAAATCACTGGGATTACAGGAGTTTGGCAACCACTCCCATTAATGATATATTAACATTTTCTTTATATATCCATTTCTGATTAACTTGATTTAATAAAAAATATCTAGTTTGAATGTGTCCCTTTCTTACATTGTTGTCTCTAATTTTTGTTCATATATAGGAAAGCTAGTGATTTTTTAATATAATTTTTATAAAGGGACATTTTATTGAATTATCTTCTAAAAAAGCTCTATTTGTTTGTTTTCCAAATATGCCATCATATAATCTGATAGTGATTTTTTATGACTGCCTTTTCAAAACTTTACATCTGTTCATTGATTTTATCTTCCTCTCTAACTGCAAGGCTGGGATTTCACAACAATATCAAGTACGAGGAGTGATTATAGACATCCTTCCTAGCCCTTAAAGCAGTGTTCCCACCTGTTCACCATTAAGCAGGACACTGACCAGCAAACCGAGATGTACATTGTTTAATCATTTTATTTCCATTTTAGTAAACTTTTTAAATTAGATAATAGATATTAAATGTCATTTTAAGACTTTTCAGAATATATATAAATGATTATATAGTTGTTTTCTCTTTGAGTTAAATTAGAGTAATAGGTTTCCTGATATTAGATAAACCATGTGCTGCTGATAGTGATTTTTTATTTTTATGATAGTGACTATGTCACTATCACCACATACTGTGTTTATAGAGCTTTGTATTCTATTAGCTACAATTTATGGTTTTGACATCAATTTTCATGTCTGACCTGGATCTTTACAATAGCAACTTACATTATTCATTTAAAAATCCACAGTTTATTTGTAATTTCTAACCTTTTGAATTAGATCTTAATTTATGTACTTTTGTTCTTTTAATGGCTGCTTGTAAAAGCCCGTTTATGAATTCAGAGGATCATGATCTTCCTTCTGGTTGATTAGAACCAAGTAACCCCTAAGAACAACATGTTCCGTGCTTCAAGGAGCAGGACTCAGGTGCACAAATCACAGCATTAGCAGGACCAACTAGTGTCTTCAGCTTGCAGCCATGACCCATCCTTTCCCTCCTTGTTCTCCACGGCTGCCTTGTTGATATGCTAGTTATTGGAGTAGGCACCATCACAACAGGGGGATGCTGTGTCACTCATCATGTGTCCTGCTGCTTTCCAGACATGCTGTGCAACTTAACGTCACTGCCACCCAGCAGCTCTTGCATATCGCCAGTCAGATGCCAAAGCTTGAAGCCTTCATACACATCTCTACTGCCTATTCCAACTGCAACCTGAAGCACATCGACGAAGTCATCTATCCGTGCTCTGTGGAGCCAAAAAAAATCATCGAATCCATGGAGTAAGTTGGATCAATGGAAGGGATTGAGGAGTGGGCTAGTTGTTTTCTATTTTTTTTCTTTTTTAAAAATTAAATGACAGCGAATGCACTACAATTCTTATTACACATAATACAGCACAATTTTTCCTATCTCTGGTTGTATGTTGACACCAATTCATGTCTTCATACATGTACTTTAGATAATGATGTCTATCACATTCAATCATCCTTGCTAACCCACTGCCTCTTCCCTTTCCCTCCCACCCTTCTGTCCTATCTAGAGTTCATCTATTCTTCTCATGCTCCCCCTCCCTGCACCACTATGAATCAGCCTCCTTTTATCAGAAAAAAACATTCAGCATTTGTTTTTGGGGGATTGGCTAACTTCACTTAGCATTATCTTCTCCAGCATCATCCATTTACCTGCAAATGCCATGATTTTATTCTCTTTTATTGCTGAGTAAAATTCCAACCAAGAAAAACAAATAACCTAATAAATAAATGGGCCAAGGACCTGAACACTTCATAGAAGAGAATATACAATCAATCAACAAATATATGAAAAAATGTTCATCATCTCTAGCAATTAGAGAAATGCAAATCAAAACTACTCTAAGATAGCATCTCACTCCTATTACAATGGCAGCTATTAGGAAGACAAACAACAGTAAGTGTTGGCAAGGATGTGGGGAAAAAGGTACACTCATACATTGCTGGTGGGACTGCAAATTGGTGCAGCCAATATGGAAAGCAGTATGGAGATTCCTTGGAAATCTGGGAATGGAACCACCATTTGACCCATCAACTCCTCTCCCTGGTCTATACTCAAATACTTAAAAACAGCATGTTACAGGGACACAGCCACATCAATGTTTATAGCAGCAAAATTCACAATAGCTAAACTATGGAGGCAATCTAGATGCCTTTCAGTAGATGAATGGATTAAGAAAATGTGGCGTATATCTATTTGATTCTTTATCATCATTAGTTAATGAATGAAGTGGGACATCCTTGCAGCCGGCCATAGTGGTGAACGCCTGTAATCCCGTTGGCTCTGAAGGCTGAGACAGGAGGATCACGAGTTCAAAGCCAGCCTTAGCAATTTAGAGAGGTGCTAAGCAACTCATCGAGACCTTGTCTGTAAATAAAATACAAAATAGGGCTGGGGATGTGGCTCGGGTTGAGTGCTCCTGAGTTCAACCCCTGGTATCCCCCCCGCACACACACACATACACAAATACATGCCTGTCCTTGCTAGTTCCTTTATTCCCTGGTAGGGATTATACTGCTGAAGGGGAAGGGAGATAGAAAATTCTTAAAGAAACCTTTTGTTTAATAGTTTAGCACTGCATAAGATACTTGGGAATACCCTAGACGTGATTTCTCACTTCTTAATAACACCAGTATTGTCACTAGCTAAAGGAAATATAATGTACAGTATAAAAGTTCAGGAGAAAATTTTTTGTAATCAGACTTGTATGAGTTCAACTTAACATAGTAGCTGTGTGACTTTGAGCAAATTCCTTGGTTCTCTGAATCCAAGTTCCTTCTTTTGTAACACGGGTCTATCTTATAGTTGTGATCATGTGTTAAGTTATATAAAGTAATAATTACAGTGCTAGAGTGTAGCCAAATGCTTAGTAAAGAAGAACTAATCAAGAATAGGAATTCCTCAAAGATCTGGCTGAAGGTGACAGTCTCTTCAGATGTCAGATCTGAGATGGGCTCTTTACTGCTGTATTGTGCAGTCTCTAGAATTTCTCTTGCCAACTTATAGAAACCACTGTCTCCTTAGGATGCTGCCCCAGTGTCAAAATAAGTTCATTTCTGTTTTCCATTTCTTCATTCTTCTCCATTTTACCAACTTTAACTCATTTTATAAAAAACTCTACATAAAAATTATTAAAGCAGGGAAAAAATGACTATTTTACAGTGAATTTGTCACATTATAACTTCATATAATATAGTACTTATGTTCAAATATAAAAATGTATATATATGTAAGCTTTAGCTAAATCAAAAGTTTATTCCCTCAGGGCAAACATTTTTATCTCTTTCAGGTCTGAGAACAGATATTTTTACCTGTTACTTAAAAATATCCAGGACAAAGAAAAGTGAAAGTCATCTAAAGGATCTGGAGGTTACTTGAAGTTGCTAATAAGTGATAATTTGCTTCACTGGTGCAAAGGGACATCTCAGAGTCCAAAGTGTATCAGGGTAGTTGGAGAAAGGCAGGTGTAGTTTGATGCCCAAAGTTAATGCAGCAAGATAGATAGATAGATAGATAGATAGATAGATAGATAGATAGATAGATAGGGATAGGTAGGCATCTCTGTGATAGTTCTGTCCCTAGAACCTGCTCCCTCTCTGCCTCCCTGGTGGGAACTACTGGCACCCCAGTGCTCTCCCCCGACGCCCCCTGGCGGAGGCTCCCTGGCACTCACATAGGACCCAGGGCTCCCCCTTATCATTGCCATTAACACAGTCATTTATAAACATCTGGTTGCTTGTCTATATTCTCCACTAGACAATGAGTTTCTCAAAGGAAGAGAGTGTCTCTTGTTGCTCTTTGCACCTCCAGTACCATCACATAGTAGGGGCTCAAATATTTCCTGAATGAATGAAAAGCTTTCCATGACATTAGATGATCATCGTTCCCACTGTTCTGGCTTATTCTTCTTTTTTAGAAAGAAGCAAGAATTGACAATATTGCATAACAAGCTAATATTTGGGATGTGGATGTTATGTGTAAAATATCTCTACTTCCATACTTCACCCTGTTTTGGATTGCTTTTTTTTTTTTTCTTCTTACACCTTTAATTAAACCTACATGTGAGTTTTGAATAATACTTTGAATGAAGCCTAGCAACCCCTGAACAAAGAAACTGTCAGTATTACTGTTTCAACAACTCCTATATTAGATGAAAATTTTGAAATTTTAGAATAACAAATGTCATCAAAGTTATTCTGAGTAAATATAGATGGAATATCTCTTCTCCAAAATATTTGGATCCAAGGTTTTTTGGAGTTTAGATTGTTTTCAGATTTTGGATTATTTACATATACATTATGAGCTATCTTGGAGATCAGACACAAGTCTAAACACAACATTCATTTATGTTTCATGTCCATCTTACACACAGAGCCTGAAGGTAATTTTATACATTTAGTGTGTCTTCATTTTGACTGCAACCTACCACATGAATTCAGGTGAGAAATTTTCTACTTGTACCATCATGTTGGCACTCAAAAAGTTTTGGATTTTGGAGCATTTCATAGTCAGACTTCTGGACTAGGGATGTGCAACCTATAATAATTCATCTAACTTCAGATTTAGTGGATTTAAGAAATTTCTCTCTGATTTCTTCTCTACTTAGTAATTGTTAAAAGAAAATTATTCTCCAAGATTTTTAGGTTTCTATTTCCAGTTCTGGGAACTAAAAGAGAATTTGCATTTTTCTCCCCTTCCGACAACTTTCCTAATTGTTTAAACCAAGGTGATAGAGCTCAGGGTTTTTAAGAAAGGGAAGTAGGTGGGAGCCTAACCCCCACACCTACCACCCTGTCTCATCCTTCACCATCTCAGGTCCCTCCTCACTCAATTCACCCCTTTTACTGTCCAAAAAACAGCGTTGGACTGCGAAGCCTCAGCTCCCTTCCTTCAGCCCCTTTCTGGAAACTTCCAGAATTACTCTGGTCCTGAACCATTCCAGAAAAATGAAATTTGATCATGTCAGTACAAAAACTTCAGCATATTGGTATAAACATGTTTTTAATAAAACTTAACTAGGAGTTAGTAATACTTTTAATTAGCATGACAGGCAGGGCCATTAGTCAGTGACCAGCAACTGGTTTTCTTAGCTCTCTTGCCTGCTGTTTTCTGCTGCCCCTCATCCCTGCAGACACATTGTTGTGGGACCGTGTATCACCATTCTAGCTCAACTCTACCTTTATACAGCTTCTAGATATTTGGTGATATTTACCTTTAGAAACTTGTGTGTAAAATGGATCAGGAATCGCCCGGGAAATCTGAGCTTTCCAGAATAACAGCTTAAGTAGAATGTTTCTTTTTAAAAATGCACATGACTGACTAGGAAAGATAGGCTTTTGTGGTTGGTGTTTTCCATAGTTTTCAGGTCAAGGTAACTATCTCAATGAAACTAGCATAGAAGTAAGAAAAGGACTTTTGCACTTATGTAAAAACCTGAAGTAACTAGAGTTAGGAACTTAATAACGGATCCATAAATACTGACTGCTTTGGCTAAAGTACAAAATAAAACTAGTAAATATGCATTAGGAAAGGAAGGCAAGGAGATGAGCCACTATCAAGCAGCTACGTGAAGAAGACACCTTCACAGACGTCTAATTCCTCAATGGAGCATTGCCAGGTTGATCTTGTCCTCACTGCCATACTAAGGAATGGGCAGAAATCTCAGACAGGCTAGGTAACACTTTGAAAGTCTCTCAATTGGAAAATCGCAGATGTAATTTTTGACCCACGGCCACATGATCTTGAAGGCCACGGTCTTTCTAGCAGTGCCAGAGACTTATAGGTAATCTTGTAAGATACAGACTGTGCCCTCAAGGAGCATGCTTCCAACACATAGAATGAGGGTAGAATTACCTATGTGGTGTGGTGGGAGAAATGGGACATACTGGGTCTGGTGGAATTGAGGCGATGGTAGAAAGAGTGTCTGAGGACAGGCAAATGACATAGGCCTGGAAGAGGAGAGCCCGTGTGGATGAGTAAGTGGGGGACTTACACCAGGCAGAGCAACTGGAGCAAGAAACCCCCAAGCATGTTTGGGAAATGGTAGAAGTCTATCGTAGCTGCACATGTGCTACGTGTAGTAAGGCAGTTAGGGATCAAACTGGAAGGTAGGCTGGGGCCACATTCAGGAGATTTTGAATACCAAGCAGAAACATTGTAATTAATTCTTAGGCAGTGGGCATCCATTGAAGGGAAGGTGGTGTGTGTGTGTGTGTGTGTGTGTGTGTGACTTTTATTGTTTGCTGTTTGTTTTAATCAAGAAAAGCCTTTGATGAAAGTGGGCTTTAGGATATTATCATGGTCTAGGGAGAGGAGGGAAGGCAGTGGATTAGCACAGGCAGTAGCCACAGGCAGGAAAACCCATCATTAAGATGGAGCGGTGTGACGGACTAGAACTAGGGTCCAGCAACAGACATAAAAAACATGTATATGTTGTTTGCAAGGAAGACCCCATAGGGCACGGCCACTGCTTTGCATATGGGGGTACATATCTAATGAGCAGCCAGATTAGAATAGGCACGATTGTCACATCTTACATTCTAATACCAGGGATTTAAGTTTTTAAAGCCCAATTCTGTTGAAATGTTTACTCTAAGAAGCAATAGCTTTTAGAATTAATCCCACTGTATTCAAATCATTATTAATTAATGTTTTATATTTGTGGTGAAGGAATTTTAAATCAGTGGTACCCCACTTTGCCTGACAAAAGAATTTCCAGAGTTGACTAAAAACAGAGAGTATCGGACTCTTGCCTTTGAAGATTGACTTAGTGGTTCTAAGATAGTATTCATGAACCTAGATTTTTATCAGTGGCCTTGTGAAATTCTTTTTTATGAGCTAGAAAGCTTGAGGAGTAGGGCCTTAAAGAGCTTTTTCACTGAGCAGTTTTTGTTTGAAATGGGGGTCATTTGTATTCTAACAATCCATGCTCTCTCTTTTGCCTGCTCTCCTCACCTCTGCTGTCTTTTGATTTCTACATGCTCAAATTGAATGAAAATTCCTGGTAGATTTGCATCCGCTAAAAATCATATTTCTGAAGCTGCTCAGTCACCAGAAGACACAGCTAATCATCCCTATAAATAAGAAATGGAGTTCTTGATCAAGTGCTGCTGGCAGTCAGCTGGGCAGGTGTACAGGTGTGGTGGGTGGAGCGTGAGAAGCAGGGACATAAAGCTGCCTGCAGCCACTAGCAATGACCCTCTTAACAGCCTCTTGGGAAGCCTGAAAGGAGGTCAGATATTGGAAAGTAGTTTTTGCCTTTGTGTTAAACGACCTGTTGTTAACACTGAAAAATGTGATCTATTCAGGGGAAGTGTAAAAAATGAATTCTAGCACTTGTGCATTTATTTTCAGGAAGAGACAGCCTCAAGGTGGCATCCAAGCATCTAGATGCCAAAAAAGGCAAATTTGCACACTTTAATAGTGCCAGACTTTAAATGCAAATCAGAACAATTAAATTGTTTCCTACCGAACAAGAATAATTTTCAATCAGTCCAGGTTTGGACCAAGATAAGTCCTCAATAAATATCTGGAGGGGAAATAAAGAGGCCACAGGCATTAGGTTCAGAAATTCCCTTCTTCAGCCAGGTGTGATGATGCATGTCTGTATTCCCAGTGGCTTCGGAGGTGGAGGCAGGAGGATCAGAGTTCAAAGTCAGCCTCCGCAATTTAATGAGGCCCTAAGCAACTCAGAGAGACCCTGTCTCTAAATAAAATATAAGAAAGGGCTGGAGATGTGGCTCAATGAGTTCAATCTCACATTTTTAAAAAAAAATGCCCTTCTTCCAAATAAAATGTTTACATTTACTCTGAATCCAGTTCCCCCACATTCTCCTTACAACCCGATCTCCTTCTGAGTTCAGCTGCTCTCTCCTGTCTTTATCCATCTCTGTTTCCAAAAACCTTATACAGTATATAAATTAGCTGCTCAAGACCACCACATGGAAGAGCATCCATTTACCAGATCCTGGGGCAGAAAGGCAATTAGAAAAAACACAGTGTAGCCCTGCTCACCTGGACTCACTATCCATGTAAGCAAACACACAGCATGATAATTGTAATAATCAAGGAAAGAACATAACCCGGACTAGAGGATGAGGAAGCAAACATTATCATTAAGCAGTGCATCCATGGATTTTGCTGGAAGCTTTTCCTGAAATTCTTCTAGACTTGCCCTGCATTTACATTAGAAAATCAGGGGAGAAATATATATTTCTCTTGTTTTTTGATTCAGTTAGTATTTGTGTGTGTGTGTGTATAATGAAATTATTAATGTTTTCATGATGTTGAAGCACTGTTTCAAAGCAAAAACGATAGTATAATTTAGAAGAGATTGTGCATTTATGTGCATATAGACACACACATATTGCTTCCCAAAATTTTCAATAATTTCACACTTCTTTTGCAGTAGAAGTTTAGAATTGAGACCCATGGGTTTAAAATACTGCCTTGAGTATAGTGAAGAGCATTTGGTTAATTTTAGAAACATATTTTGATTTATATAGTATTTTCTTCCGTGCTGATTTATTGGCTGCTTTAAGAACAAATGGAGAACAGTAGCAGCAGAATTGAACAGAATGTAGATCCTGACAAGAGCCTCCACTCAACCACGTGCTACATGTCATTTTAATCTCCTCTGAACCTGGGAAGCAACTAGACATAAACTAGACATAGATGGCCCATTGGGTGGGATTAGAAAACCTACTTTAAAACCAACTATTACCTATATAGATATATGATTGTTTCATTTTTTAAAATAAGAATGCCTTAGTTTCCTTGACTTAAAGTTTTGTTTCATCAAATAGCTTTAAGTGCAGTTGTGAAGATTTCTGTTTGTCCTGGTGATAACCTGAGAATTTAGAACAGATGGAATTGTTGCCTCTTTTCACAGGTAAATATGGAGGGACACAGGTGGAGCTAAGAGTAGTAGAGATGGGCCATCCACAGAATGCTACAAGCTCTTTTGTACTTGTGTCCTAAGAAATCTATGAAGCGAGTAGTTTCTAAGTAAAGCTAACTCATCAAACTTGGTAAAGCCCACTGTGTCCTCTTTTCCAGGTACCTAACATCACTGACAGCAGCTCTGAGACACAGACTCCCAGTGGTTGCTGGGTTCTGATGTTTCCTTAGAATCTTTTTCTTTACAGACTTGTTGAAATTAGGCTCTTCTGAACTTGGTTTTTGTAATCTGCATGTTTTTTGCAGAGGAGAGAGAGTGATCTTAGGTCAGTAGACTCACTCTTCACTTGCAAATGAGATTAGACACTGTATCCTCTGTGATGAGGGTTCCTCAAGCTCAGATTCAACCAACTGCCAGTCAGAAATGTCTGGGGAAAAAGCTGTGTCTGTACTGAACATGTAAAGAATATTTTCTTGTCACTAAACAATATTCCCTGAACAATATAGTGTAGCGAGTACTTACATAGCATTCATATTGTACTATATATTAAGCCATCTAAAGATGATTTGAAGTATACAAAAGAATGTATATAGTTTATATATAGATTCTACACCATTTTATATAAGAGACTTTATATAAAATGATGAATTGGGATATCTGCAGGGGTCCTGGAACAAATCCTCCTCAGATACCAAAGGATGGCTGTATTTTTTTTTTAATTTTTAGTTATACATGGACACAATATCTTTATTTTGTTTATTTATTTTTATGTGGTACTGAGGATCAAACCCAGTGCCTCACATGTGTGAGGCAAGTGCTCTGCCACTGAGCCACACCTCCATACAGAGGATGGCTATAAACCCAGAGAGGCACCTGCATTATCCCCCACTCTCTCCCAAATTCCAGGTGTCCATATAGTTGAAATATCTCTATTTCTCTATGTATTTTGAGTTGTTTTAGTTCTAGGAACTTCTCAACCTTCCCCTATTCAACTGAAATCAGAAGGTAGTTGAGTACACAGAATACACTGAGCACTAACAGAAGCAAAGCAAGGACAATTAATACTATAGATGATCTTTACATTCCACCAAAATGTCAAATGAAAGTGATTAAAATTCATAGTTGTGATTGTGAATCAATCTTAACATCAAACAGATTTTAAATACTCAAGAACTTGTGCTGTGCTCAAAGCAGTAACAGTTAAGATTTTTAGTGTGGTTATGGTCTGTAACAGATCATCTAGCTAAGAGAAACATTACATATTTAATTGACAATAATTTTGTTAATCTTTTAGAGAAGTGTAGATAGACTTGGGATTATCAAAATGGTTCTGCCATAGTTTTCAAAAGGATTAGGCTGATGTTATGTGGCACAGTTACTCACAACCCCTGTCACCTCTTAAGCAGGAATATTCAATAGTTGTTACTGACATCGCTTCAGAGTACTATAATCACTCCCCTTGACAGACTTTAGAATTCTGTTCAGAGATCTCCAGAAATAATTATCACATTATTTGCTTAGGCTCTAAACAGACTTTCAAAATACATTTTATACATTTGCTTAAACAGATGAGAAGGCTGCCAAATGTAGTTGCTTTGTTTGTTGAGGCACTGAGTAAAATCTTAAAAATTAACAGTTAAAGTCTTCCGGTCTAGTTCACTAGGTTTTCAGTGGACCACACTGAATGAGTGGGGCCGCCACCGAAGTTCACTGGATCAGGGAGGCTTTGAGTCCAGGAATATGGCAGCTAGCACATGAATGGTACTCAAAAATGTGTTCAATGACCGTCTGGGGAACCTATTGGAGAAGTGAGGATAATATGAGGTTGTATGTAATAAATAGTAGATTGCATATCTAATTTGTTAATCTATCTGGGTGGGAGGAAGTGGGACTTCACTAAGACTAGGCTAGAAGAGAGTGAAGAGCTCATCCGTCATTCATGACTGGAACAGGTACACTCATCCTTGCTATACTGTGACTGTTCTGAATTCCCCAAGTCAAACTAGAAGATGGAAGTTTTTTTGACTGTATCTCACATTTTCCTTTTGGTCTATTGTGCAACATATGTTCCTAGATTTTTTTTTCTCTACTTTCAGGTGGTTAGATGATGCTATCATTGATGAGATCACTCCCAAACTGATTGCCGGTCGGCCTAATACTTACACCTACACCAAGGCCTTGGGAGAGATGGTAGTGCAGGAAGAGGGCAACAACCTGAACGTGGCCATCATCCGGCCCTCCATCGTGGGAGCCACCTGGCAGGAGCCTTTCCCAGTGAGCTCACTCTGGATTCTCTGCTCAGCTGTCAAACCACAGCACCATTTCTTTCTGATGTTCCTCTTCCCCCTTCCTGTATTCTCCTTTTCCCCACCCTTCCCTCCTCCTCCTTCTCAGGGTGTATAGCTGAGTGCAGTAAATAAAACACAAGTTCATTTTATTACAGCAAATTCCATGTTAGCGTCAGGATTTACCCAGCAGGAGGCTCCTTTGGGAGTTAACTCTGACTGTCCAAGAGTTGGGTAGAGATCTTAAATTGCTTCTCACTAACTCTAGTCTCAAAATTGCAGGGAGATGGTTTCATTACTTGGCTTTCCCTCTATGGTTTCAATATGTCAGAATGTTCTTTATGGCCAAATGGGTAGTATTGCAATTTCCAAGGTAAAAAGGAGTCACAAAGCCCACAGTTTCTCAGTTTAGGAATAATATTTTTTTTAACCTCTCTCTATTGCTATATCCTTTCAAAAGTTACTTTTAATTATATCATCTTCTTCAGAGAAACTCTTTGAAGCTTCAGAGCTGGGTGTTCCATTACCTACTAGCAATGCAAACTTTTGAATTGTCTCATCTATAAATCATGGTTGATTTGACTCACTTTGGAGAGTTGATTAAGTGAGACAATGCTTGAGTAGTGTTTTGTATAATGTCTGGTCCTAGAAAAAGATCAAAAAATATTAGATTCTTCCTCTTCCCTCTCCATTATACACACACACATTTTGATTTTTACAGATAAAGAAAGAGACATAATAAGGTCAAACTGACTTGCTTAGGGCTTGGGAAAATGACATTTCTCCCTTACTTCCCAAGCACAATCTTTCCTGTAACACCTCCAAGCAGGCCAACACATAAAAATATATATGTGGTATGGACTCCAAAGCTGTTAAAACTTTTCCAAGAAATGGGTCATTCCTACAGTTCATGTTTGAAATGTTTTCACATAGCTTAGAATCCAACCTCAGATGGGGGGAAAAAAAAGTTGTGTTTGATGAACTGGTTGGCGGATCACGATATGAAGACAAGGTCCAGTTTAGCTCATGAGACAATATGAAACTGCAGGAAAACATCCATACTTCCTTGTTATGAAAATCAGTGTTATACTGTAGCAATACATGTATGCTTGTGTTCACAGCAACACAGTTCACAATAGCCAAGTATGGAACCAGCCTAGGTGCCCATCAACAGACGAATAGATAAAGCAAATGTGGTATAAACACACAAAGAGTTTTATTCAGCTACAAAGAAGAACAAATTATGTCATTTGCAAGAAAATGGATGGAACTTAAGCATTATTTTAAGTGATATAAACCAGGCTCAGGAAACCAGGGTTGCATTCTCCCACATATGTCGGAGCTAGAGAGAGAGAGGAGTGGGGAGAAGCAGAGGAAATTCATGAAAATAGAAGGGAGTCTAATAGAGTGGAGGAAGGGAATTATGGAAGGCAGGGAGAGAGAAAGGGAGGTAGTGGGGAACAAAATTGACCAAATTATGTGCATGTGCAAATATGCCACAACAAATTCCACTATTGTGTATAATTATAAGCACCAATATAAATATTTAGAAAAAGAAAAATCAATACCGGCAACATTTTAATCCTTGCAGAATCAGAAAAAGTATAGAAAGTAGTCAGTGCTTTGCCAGTGCTTTGATCTTTTGGGGAATCTTAGAAATACTGAATTAAAATATTCTTTTAGCTGTGGTTTTGATGTTCTTCTTTGATATGTATTAAGATTAGACTGTAGATGTTCCAAAGATAAAGCAATTTTCTGAAATATGTAACCAATAGAGACCTTCTATTTTTTAGGGCTGGGTTGATAACCTAAATGGACCTAGTGGAATCATTGTTGCGGTATGTATAATGAAGGGGAAATCATTTCTTGAAAGGTTGTGGAGAAATAATAACAAAATTCTTAGTGCTGGTTTAGCTTCTTTGATCCCAAAACATAAATTTTACTATACTAATAATTGAAACAACATATCTCCGTTTTACTGATTGGAAAATAGAGACCGTATGGAATCACTTTCATTCTGTGAGAATTTTATCATATGGAAAACATGTAATATGACATCATCAATTACTGTTGAGGGGTTTTATTTTGCAAAACCTTTGAACATCAAGAATTTTCCTTTAGTTGCCACCAGATGGGGATATTTCCTCCTCTGCTGTTTATTAATGGCTTGAATTCGTGCAGCAAATTGAGGATGCAATAAAAACCTAACCCTCAAAGATTATTGAATTATTGACTTTAAAATATGCAAGAGTTTTATGGGTATGTTATATAAAGAATATATTATGCATATATGTGTACAAATATGTATCAATAACTATTTTTTAATACAAAAAGGTGTGGCAGATGTTTCAAATGTAAAAACTGGCGAACATGGGAAATGCTTTTTCAATCACAAACCCCTGGGAGAGGAGAAACACAGCTAGTCCAGGTGTCCATCTCCCAGCAGTTCACAGTGACCCAGCTGAGGTGCAGTGTTCCCCAGCTCACAGCGAAACACTTTAGAACCAGAACTACATCTTTGCTCTTCAGAGCACTAAATAGCAATTCAGTTATCTAAACGAGTTTAAATCTTATTAGGGATCACATGCTTCAAACAAGTCCTCAAACTAAGTCCAACATGAATTAAAATATAAATACAAGACAGTGAATCAAGTACGACTTTTTAAAGATAGTGACAATGAACTGCCTTCTGAGTTCCAAATTTTCAACCAGCTCCTCTTTCTGTTCCCAGTCTGTCTTCAGCTCTTTCCTTCTTACCATTTAGTTGGTGAATGTTTGGTCACCCATAATATTATTATTTTAACATGAGCCCAGAGTGGGTTTCATTACATTGCAAAGCTGCACATTTATTCAAATTTCCTAAAATTTTCCTAATACCTGCCTCCTTATATCTAAAGTAAGGGAACTAGTTACCAAAAACAAACAAAAAAAATGAATTAGGAATATAAGAAAGTGCTGATAATTTTAAATCAATGCTGGAAATATGCAAAGTAAAGCAAACCAACTTCATGAAGTCTATCAATTATAAACATGAAAAATTCTAATTATTGCTTCTAGATAATATCTATGATCTGTGGGTTGAAGTAAAATATTGAACAAAAAATAAATAATTGTGGTGTCTTTTCCCAAGCAAAAAAAAAAAAAATTCTGTTAAGTGGTAAAATTTCATTTCCATTTTTTTCCAGATAAATGTTTTTTAAATTTTTAGTGACTGTTTTTGCTTGTAATTGAATAAGCACTAACAGAAACCAAATTCATTTAAGAAATGGTAAACAAATATCAGTGGAAAATCTGGGAAACCTAAATTCTTAAAATGTCTTACAAATCAATTTTTATATGAAAAACTATTTGTGGTGTTTGTTAATTAACTAAGTATATTAATTTCTCATGAATTTAAGGAATTTTATACCCAAAAGGAATCCAAGGACCACTCACACAGAGATGTGGACACTTGAGATGAATTTGGCTGAGAAGGTTGGATAGGCTGGGAGGTCAAACAGTACAATAACTTAGAAGCAGTGAATCAGTGTTAACTATTTTGACTAACAGCAGTAGTGTTTATATGCTGGTCCTATTGGCTACTTAAGTCCTGGCTTAATGCATCTTATTTGTGTTATCATTTTCCTTGTTTTCCTGTGCAGGCTGGAAAAGGATTTCTTCGTTCCATAAAAGCTACCCCAATGGCTGTGGCAGATTTAATTCCAGTTGATACAGTTGTCAATCTCACCTTAGCGGTAGGATGGTACACTGCAGTTCACAGGTATGGGCTCTTAAGCAGGCTCTCGAAGATAAGAGGAGGGTGAATATGTTAGGCACATTTGAAAAATATGGCACTTATTATAGAAGGCACAAATACTTGTGCGTTTGATTATAAAGTAATACGCCCTTTAAATAGCTTAGCCCTGAAATTCTTGATAACCAAAAATATTTACTTTATATTCAGTCATCTAAAATATAACTTCCTTTTTTATGGCAAAGATATAAATGTTGATGAAATCACAACATATTTTATATTTCATTGAACTGCTCAGTTTCTTGGTAAATGCCAAAAGTCCAGACCACAGAATGTGGGGAAATTTCTGAATACAAAGGAGAAAAAAATAGATTGCTTGTACATTTGGTATTGTTAGTAAATGATAAACAGAATTAAATTTTTCTTATGTAAACTCAGACACATGTATTCCACAATATATCATACCTATTTGACACCACTCTGTCTCTTTCACACACACAAACACATTTTCACACACTCACTCACACAAGCTCACACACACACACACACACACACACACACACACACTTTCCTAGTCACCTTCCATTTTGTGCATTAACCCAAAGAAAGAACAAAAGATGGAAGTATTGCATAGGTTGCTTTAGTCGTGGGAATTTTTAAGGCACCCTGTCTTAATGTGATTTTTCCCTTATCTTTGTTTCATCAGTTCGGCGTTTTATTGTTATCTAATTTTTATTTCATCTTCCAGACCTAAGCCAACCTTAATCTACCACTGTACATCGGGAACTACCAATCCCTGTAATTGGGGCAAAATGGGTAAGTGCCTCTAGATGTAACTACATGATTACTACTAGTCTTTGCTTGAGGGGGAAAAAAAATCAAGACCTATGAAATGTGTCAGGGAGGAGAAGAAAGAAAAATAATAATAATAATTAATAAAGAGATAAAATGATTGCAATTTTGAAATATGTCATCGTTCTCTGGAACATCCTGTGGTATACTAAGTGAGCGGTGGGAACACCAACACAAGTCCAAGGAATAAGGGGTCTGTTGGCCACAGAGGTTTAAAAAACAATAATAAAACCTAGCAGAAGTTGGCAATCACAAACAATGTCAGGGATAAGACACTCTTTCCTGCTGAGGCGATTCCTAGAAAAACCCACGCAGGCCTTTCTCTCTTGGGGCATTGCTGGGAATTTAAAATAATCCGTGACTGAAAAAATATAGGAAAGTCGAATAATAGTATTCCTTTGTTATTGAGTCAGTGATATTCCTCATTAGTTTTGTCTCTCTTGAGGGTGCAGCAACTGTAATCCTGAAAATATCTTGAAATTGATTCAATTTTAATGTTTAAGAAAGTCTGAAAGTTTATATCATCTATCTAGCTGTTGTTTAGATACTAGACAAAGTAAAAGCAAAAACCAAATGTATTTCATTGGTTAGAATCTGATTTCTAACTCAGAGTGCTCAGTTGTGCCATTCTAGTTGCAAAGTTATTACTTCTGTAAAAATAAAATGAAATTACCTACTATTATCAGAGCTCTTTACACCATATATACACTTGTTTAGACACATATCTGAATCATTTTTACCCCTTTCAGTGCGAATAACATATCTTACCCCTTTCAGTGAGAATAACCACTCCACTAGTAACTCATAAAAATGAGTATGAGGGCTGGGGTGTGGCTCAGTGGTAGAGCACCAACCGGCCTAGCACTTGGGAGGCCCTGGGTTCCGATCCTCAGCACCACAAAAAAATAAATGAAATGAAGGTATTGTGTCCAACCACAACTAAAAACTAAATTAAAAAAAAATGTGTATGAATTTCTGTGAGATAAAAAAAAAAGTCAGTTTTCTTGGATCCTGGGACAAGGTCGTAGGCAGTGTCACAACGTCATGGTAGTTATATTTAAATTTTTTTTAAGTTGTTAATCCATTAATCCTTTATTATATGCAGAGCTGAGAATCAAACCCAGTGCCTCACATGTGCAAGGCAAATGTTCTACCACTTATCTATAGCCCTAGCCCATGGTACCTATATTTTTAATAGCATCCATATGAGTATTGATGTTGTGGAAATCCACTGTGAGAAGCCCCGTAATAAACATACTTTATTGATTGGTCTATGTAGGGATCAGATCTATTCAATGAATAAAATCCATGGAAATACATGTAAACATCTAATGATGGCAGAGGGTAAGAAATGTGGGTTTAGCTACCCTGAAGGATGATGCTTCAGTCCTCACTAACACATCTCTCCTTTCCCTGTTCCATCAGTGACATTATCTCTACACATTCCATTGAGCCATGGTCCCAGATTATTACTGTAGAGTAGTCAGACGCTGTGGCTCATTGTATGATAGGCTTGACTTGAAGATTGCCTTCCCAAGAATGACACATACTTGGCATGTGTGCCTTCTCTTGTCCCCTCACACCATGGCAGACGTCAGCTGGTCACAACATACTTTCCCCCCAGTGCCAAGACTCTGTATTAGCATTTTTTTAATACAATATATCTGGACACTATTACCGATTAATTTGATTTTACATTTAAATTGAAACTCATTTGTGTTTCAAATAAGAGCGATCAAAATTCTTCCAAGGCAGGAGGCAGGAGGATCACAGGTTGGAGGCCAGCCTCAGCAACTTAGTGAGACCCTGTCTCAAAATAGAAAAAAAAAAAAGGACCTGGGGATGTGGCTCAGTGATTGAGTGCCCCTGGGTTCAATACCTGGTACCAAAACACATGGAAATGTATATGGATATGTAGATTAGAAAGTTAGTGTTAATATTAGATTATCCTACATGTGTATGACCTTTTTATTTATTTTTCTTTTTCAAGTAAATAAGCCTATGGACCCAATTTTTCCCTTCTGTATAGGGTGTATATTTTTCATATAGATTTCTAGGTGGTATCTTTTGAAGAAAGGCAATAATCACATTACCATAATAAATGATAGCTTCATTATCATTGAATAATGAGCTTAGGTACTGAAAGGAAAGTGACCACAACACTCAGAGCAACCAAAAGATCTTTATTGCAGCAGTGCAACAAAGAGAAAGGAAAGAAGGAAAGAGAGAGAGAGAAAAGAGAAGAGATGAACAGGGAGAGAGCAAGAGCAAGAGAGAGACAGAGAGCGAGTGTAAGAAAGATAAAGAGCAAGAGAGAGACAGCAAGAGAGAGAGAGCAAGAGAGAGGGGGGCCTGGCAGGAGGGAGTTTTTATAGCCCAAATCTAATGGGGCCTCTGGGTCTGCAAGCTGCCTTGTTGGCCCAAGGGGGGGTTAAGTGTTCAGCCTTAAGCAGGGTTGAATGTTCAGACTTGAGGCAAACAGGTGATAAAGGACCAGATAGAGGGGGGTTTGAGTGCGTGGGCTATCTTGCAGCCAACATCTGTTCAGCCTGCCCTGCAGACAACACAGTTCAGCCTGCTCTGCACCCAACAGGTACATTCTTTGAAAAACTCTACATAAATTCAAATTGGATTTAAGTGAATATTTTTGAAAAGAACTATTGAATTGACAAATGAGCATCAAAGTTTTTCAACTAAGTATAATCTAAATAATAAGATAAAATGAAAAGATTTTTATTAAAAAAAAACTTGGAGACAATAGTGGAAAATTAAATCTAACATATTTCCAGCAAAGTAGAATACCAAAGAAGTAAGACTGTAGTATTTAAAGTGAACCAATGCAAGGGAATCCCGCCTTTATATTTTCTTTATTGAGAAAGTTTAACTTTGAGAAATTGTAACCCATTAAGAAACTTTCCTGCCAAGTGTGGTGGCACACATCTGTAATCCTAGTGACTCAGGAGATGGAAGCAAGAGGATTGCAAGTTCAAATCCAGTCTCAGCAATTTAGTGAGGCCCTAAACAACCTAGTGAGACCCTATCTCAAAATAAAAAATAAAAAGGGCTGAGGTGTAGCTCAGTGTTGAAGTGCCTCTGGGTTCAATCCCCAGCACCAAAGAAAGGAAGAAACTTTCCTGATGGTTCTGCAAGTAATAATTCAACTAAGGAATACGTGGTGCCTAGCCTCTCTTTCAGAAGAGATGAGGTAATCTTGACATTGAAGCTCTTCCTTGTATTGACTCAAACTAGTTTCCCAAGTTTTGAGTAAATATTTCAAGAAAAGGAGCCAATTCTTGACCCATTCATATTGTTTAAGTTTGTAGATGGCCATCTGCCCAACATAAAAGTCTTCACATTGTTAGAAATTGATTCTTGATTCTTTGCAGCAAATCCATAGTCTTTATTATTTTGCAAACATCTTTCACTTTAATGGGTGAACTTAGTACCTAATTCTCCTTTTTTGCCAGGATTACAAGTCTTGGCAACTTTTGAAAAAGCCCCATTTGAGAGAGCATTCAGGAGGCCAAATGCTGACTTCACAACCAACTACTTCACAGCCTCCTACTGGAATGCGGTCAGCCACCGGGCCCCTGCCATCATCTATGACTTCTATCTGAGACTCACTGGAAGGGAGCCCAGGTGAGCAGCTGTGCCAATGGCTTTAAGAGTGTCACTGCGCTGGAAATTAGGGCCTGAAAGTCTCTAGCCCAGCTTCAGCTGAGGATCAAAGGGGGGGGGGGGGACACTGAATCAATCTCTCTCTCTCTCTCTCACACACACACACACACACACACACACACACACACTTTTGGGACAAAAAGGCAGCAGTAGTGAGAAACCACAAACTACTGCTAACCTAAAAATCTCCTGCCTGCCATAATGAAGGAAGTTAAAGAACTTGCTTGATGAAATAAGCCAATCCCAAAAAACCAGGGCCTGAATGTTTTCTCTGATAAGTAGATGCTAATCCATAATGGGGGCGGGGTGGGTGGAAAAGGGACGAGTGGAGGAACTTTGGATGGGACAAAGGGGAGGGGGGTAGGGAGCAAGGAGGTGGAAAAGATGGTGGAATGGAGATGGACAACATTACCCTAGGTACATGTATGATTGCACGAATGGTGTGACTCTATTTCACGTACAACCCAAGAAGTGAAAAATTCTGCTCCATTTGTATACAATGAATTGAAGAGCTTTCTACTGTCATGTAAAACTGATTAGAACTAATAAAATAAATAAATAGATAGATAAATAAGAACTTGCTTGATAAATTTAGCAAGTCATCATCCACACTAAAAGTAAAGCAACTGAGACTCTGTCACTGGAGTGTTTCAAGTAAATCATTTTAAAATACACAGTAACGACAATCTCATTTCTGAGAACTTACTGTGTGGCACTTCTGGGGGGAAGGATGATAGCATCATGATGATCCCATTTCCACTCTCACATCTCAGAGAAGACATTCTCATCATCCCAAATTTAAAATCAAGGAAAGAGAAGCTAAGGGAAGAATTTGAATAGTCTCAAAGGAAGTGTCAGAGGAAGGGTTTAGAGAATGCTGAGTCTCAACTGCCAGTATTGTGAATTGTGAAGGAATTAGGGGGAACAAAGTGTGCTGAAGCTAAGCCATGAGCAGTGTGACAGAGGACATATCCCTTATCTCTTTGTCTCACTGGAGTAATGAGAAGTCATCATTATTATAATTACCAAGTCAAGCCTGTGATCAAGAATTAGAGCATGAACTGTATTGGCTTCTTTACTATCCTTTATTGGGGTTAGGGGGTTCTCAGTGTGCTTAATTTTCATCCTTTTTAACAGAGCAAATGACTCAAACTTAGCCACTGTAGCTTATCCATATTTTCAGAGACTTCATTTAGAGCTCACAACTCAGCTCTTTACTGAAGTATAAGGACATGTGACTATAAGGGAAATATTTGAATGGGCTTTTTTGTTGGGAGAGGGGGGTAAAAACGGACAGCATGCCTTTATTTTGTTTGTTTATTTTTTTATGCAGTTCTAGGGATTGAACCCAGTATCTCACATATGCTAGGCAAATGCTCTGCCACTGAACTATAGCCTCAACCCTTGAATGGGGCTTATTAAATATAAAAAGTAAAAAAAAAAATTACAGCAGAAATGCTAAAACGTTCAAAATAGGGTTAAAAGGCTTAGATAAATAGCAGAAAGTTCAGTATGTAAAATATAAAAACACAGGAGGAAGAGACAATAAAAATCCGTTATGTGTTTTGTTTGCAAGAAACCAAACTGTAATTTTGGTGGGAAATGGGTTCTTTTGTTTTGTGGCATAAAAGCCCTAAAATTAGTTCATTTCTGTAAGTCCCAACTTCCTCTTCTGTAAAAAGAGGATAGTGATCATATCTACTTTATAGGACTTTACATCAAAATGTTTAGAATAATAATTTTTATTATTGCTGAAGATGTTTTAAATTTTTATGAGGTAAAATAAATCATTCTTTTCTTTTACCGTTTTTGTATTTTAGCTATTAAGAAAAACTTTTCTACCTTAGAGTGATAAATTCTTTTTTTCCCTAAAAAAAATAAATACCATTAGGTCAATATAGTCCTATATATACAATGATAATACTGTATGTATGACTATTATTTTTTAGAATTAAAGTGCATCTATTAAAATCACATCAATTGTATCAGAGTTGGGACAGAGATTTATATAATTACAGTTAAATGGAACTCTATTATGGTATTTGAATCAAAGAACAATGATATCTACCTTCTGTTTAAGAAATTTTCCATAATACAGTGAGAGAAGTACCCCATGAGTCATTGGGTACACAGGCTTTAGAATTTAACCAAAAATAAAACCAAATCCCCCTAATAGCACCATAACTCATTACTACATTGAATACAGTAATCACTATTATGAAGATTTGTTTAATTAAGATAAAAATCAAATGCTTTATAATCCAAAGAACTAAGTTGGAGTATTAGCAATGTCACTTTGAACATAATCTTTCTATAAAGTGAATATAAGTAATATCAATGTTGATGACCTCGTAGTTGTATTGTGAGGATCAAATAATAACACATATGAAAGTTTCTTACTAATTGTATTAAACTTGGGAGATTCACACAAAGGAGCTGTTTCAAGTTCTGACCACAGAATTGGAAAATTACCTCAAGTGATGAGATACAAGGTTATGAGATTGCACAGAGATTTTTGGAGGTTGTTCAAAACAAAGTTGTAATATTGGCTTTGACACAGTCTATGTTACCTATTTATGAAAAATATTTATTTATAAAGATACTATTATGCAAAATAGCAGAGAGAATATTTCTTAGAAGTATCGGTGCTGTGCATAATTCAGGTTATCAAGAGTGGGTTCTTTTCCCCTTAGGTCTGCCTTACAACTGGCAAATGCTTTAGTTCCCCAGATGCTAATATGGTCAACGCTTCTATCCAGGAGTTATATACTAAGATCTCAGAGACTATTTATTAAAAAAAATCTAAGAACATACAATAAAGAGAAATAAATTTTCCAATTGTCTCCCTCAGAATTCAAAAATGAACAGTGTGTCCTTAGGGGGGTATAGCAGGCTGTTTTAAAAGTAAGTTTGCTACTCTTAGGAAAGAGATGGCAGAAAGAAGACTTTGGTATTAAAGTGCCCGATAGAGGAATCTCCTTTAAATTCATTCCCTTTCCTTCATTCAACAGAGTTAAGGTGGAAGAAAAAAAAGATTAAGAATTTTAATGAGGAATTGGAGAAAAAGAAGAGGGATAAGATTTTTCTTCAATGACTTTGTCATCCATCCCAATATAGTGTCATCCCAATATAGTAGCCATCTGTGGTGCACTGATATCTGCTTCTAATTGATCTCATCCTTAGGATGACAAAGCGCATGAATCGGCTTTTAAGAACTATTTCCATGCTGGAGTACTTCATCAACCGGAGTTGGGAATGGAGCACATACAATACAGAAATGCTGATGTCAGAGCTGAGTCCTGAGGACCAGAGAGTAAGTACAGCACTGGTGCAGACAACAGGAGAATCTTACTTATTTGGAATTTAGGATTATTCAACTCAAAGTCAATGGAGAAAGTTTTGGTTATATACACAGATAATTTTTTCCTAAGAAAATCAGACACAGTGAAAGGAAATGAGTTTGATGTTCTTGGACTTCAGTTAGATTTCCACTGTTGCTCTGCAATGATGTATTTCGTCTACTGTACTTCCATCCTGAAATTTTTTTTTCATCCCTCAGTAGTCATATTCACCACAAGCCCTCATTATCTCTGACTTTCCTCTATGTACTATGCTGTCAATAAAAAAATATTTTATTGTTCATTTTTATTGTTCATAAACTCTTTCATATACTATACTTGACAAATTAAAATTGATCTGCATCTCCACAGCTACAGTTCCTTTCTTTTTTTTTTCTCCCTGGTACTGAGGATTAAACTCAGGGGCATTCAACCACTGAGCCACATCCTCAACTCTTTTTAATATTTTATTTAGAGACAAGGTCTTGTTGAGTTCCTTAGGGCCTCACTAAGTTGCTGAGGCTGGCTTTGAATTTGCAATCCTCCTGCCTCAGCCTCCTGAGCTGCCGGGATTACACATGGGCACCACCATGCCCAGCCCTTCTTATCTTTTTAAAGCTAACCCCTACACTATGCATTCTATCTCATCTAAATTTCACCCCACCAGTATGGCCCTATCTCTCACACTCAGTGTTCCTTCCTGCAATATTTTTCTTCCACAGTGCAATTCTAATTTTTAAGATAGGCCATCTCTTTTTGGTATCAGCATCACTTATTTCCTTAGTTTCTTAACAACCACAAAGGATAAACCTCTGCAGATTCTAAAATTCACAAACGCAGAAGTCTTTTGTACTTTGTACATGTTCCTAGGTTTCATTTTCCCTGAGCATATCCTTATGACATTACTAAAGTTTTAACTAAACTTTTAGAAGTTTTTACATCCTCTCTAATGATTGACATTTTCTCCTAAGAAACAATTGTTTTAAAAATGTTTTCTATTTATTTTGTACCTGACAGCATTGTAATAGTAAGTTTCAACCTAAAATGACTAAAAATGTGTATGGGAAGTTTCAGTGGATTTGACCATGCTCTCAAAATATTTTAACAAAGGTAATAATCCTAAATGTAATTACTGAATTCCAGTGTGGCTCGGAATTCAGTTTGATTTGCTGATGGAATAAAAAATTCCTAACTATAACTTCACTGAAATCTAACTCAGTAGTGTGAAACAGTATAAAAATAAAAGCCTCTATTTATATAAATGAATAAATATTTAGTGATAACCACAAACATACTCAAACAAAGTGATAATGGAACTATTTTTGAAAGCAATTCAACTTCTTTTTAAAAATATTGTTTTAGTTGTTGATGGACCTTTATTTATTTTTTATTTATATGTGGTGCTGAGAATCGAACCCAGTGCCTCACACATGTGAGGCAAGCTGTCTGCCACTGACTGAGGTACAACCCAGCCCAAAAGCAATTCAATTTCTGGACAAGTCTATGGAGTGCTATGGAACTTGTTAACCTCATGTGCTCTTTGTTAGCACTTCAAATTTTACAAAGGCTTGTGAAAACTTGAATTAATACATACAATAAAAGAACAAAATAGAAATGAAATAAACGACCAAACTAGTTGAAATACAAGCCAATACAAGTCAGAGTGTCATGGCTAAGAATGAAAAAAAAAATGTTTTTAGATCCTACCAAGTTGCTAGGGAAGTTGTTCTTGAGGCAGGGAATTTGTTCTTGAGCTTTCTGGTGACAAAGTGAACATGAAATTCCTTGTCTCAAAGGTGAAAATATACTAATGTTAAAGCAAAGCTCTCTTATATTTAATATCTAATGAGTGTTTATAAAGGGTTTCCTATCATGGTTTTCTAAGACATAATGGATAATATCTCTAAAGCAAATATAGTAACAGCTCCGTGAAAAGGTTATTTCTGATCATGTTCCTCTGTGAAAGTGGAGAATATTAACATAAAGCAATATGGATAATAAATCAGCAAAGAGCTCATTCATTAAATAAATGTTATCGCTTCTCGGCCTTTTGGCTAAGATCAAGTGTATTAAATAAATGTTCATTGAATGCTCATAATGTTAACTAAGGATATTAATATTTACTCACGTCCCTCCCAGGTCTAAGATGGTTTTTTGTGATTAATATATAACATTTTTATTTGCATATAAAAAGATGAGGATTAAGTAGCCCTAGAGAACTACTAAATCCTTAAGATGTCAAACTCATTTTCTTTAGAGTTTTATTATATCCTAGATATAGGGAAACCACTAATCATAAAGCCCAAGAGATTTTCAGAAACTGGTAGCTGGCATTCATTCATTCATTTATGCATGTCTTGTGCACACTAAGCAAGTGCTCTACCAGTGAGCAACATCCCCAGCAATTTTTATTTATTTGTTTTTGAGGCAGTCTTACTAAGTTGCCAGGCTGACTTTGAACTTATGATACCCCTGCATCAGCCTCCCCTGTGGCCATTTTAAAGTCAATAAACTCAACTTTTAGTTGTGATTGGTTTTTTGATCTTGACAATTTATGCCTTTTATTTAGAACAATCTATGCCTCCATTAAAGGCTGTTGAAAAAAAGGAAAGGTTGTCTGAAAATAAAAAGGAAACTAAGTTTAATTTGGTAATATTCATATAAACCTTATATAAACATCAAATAACAAACAAAAATGCTATGTAACAAAAATAAACTTTTGGTTTTTTATTTTTTAGGTTTTTTTTTTAGGTGGACACAATATCTTTTATTTTATTTTTATGTGGTGTTGAGGATTAAACCCAGTGCCCCGTGCATGCCAGGTGAACATGCTACTGCTTGAGCCACATCCCCAGCCCGAACATTTGTTTTTTAAAATTAATATTAAGGGGCTAGGGATGTAACTCAGTGGCAGAGTGCACAAAGCCCTAGGTTTGCTCCCCAGTGACACACACACACACACACACACACACACAAAGAATAACATTAATTTTACTAAACTGCAATTCTTTTATATATTCAGCCAGTACTTACTGAATACCCATCTTGTGCCAGTTGTTGTTTCAGGAACATCGTTTATTTGAATTAAGATGTTTTGCTGTTAAGATTAAAGTCCTTTCTAGTGAGGTCTCAATGGGAGTTTAATCAGTTAAATCTAATCAGGCAACTCACCTTCATTGCCCAGAGGAAAATTCTTTACTAAGAATAGGATTTTATTAAGCAAAAAGTGATCTGAGAGTGCTATACATCCAAGGAAGAGAAAGCTACCTTATGGGGAAGACTAGACTGCTTAAAGAAACTCCACTTGCTAAAAGATTTATAAAATATTGAACTTTTTTTTTAATGCTAGCATAAGTTCATTTTTCATGCCATTCTTCTCAAATATACTGAATAAAAACCTTCAACATTAAATCTACCCAGTGTGAAGACCAGTGATTATCTAATGCAATCTTTTTTTCAACAGGATCATACTCAAACCATTCAAGAAGAACCTAACACTAAATATTTCCAGAGTTACCACAATCTTCCTGACACTCTTCCTGTTGTTTTATTGCCCCAAATTCTTTATATTCAATCAAAATTATTTATTATATTTGAAGCTCTTTTCCTCTATTTTTCTAGTTAAGCTCGTTTTATGGAGATTTTGAAAAGATGTATGGATGGCTCATGGATGACCTGATGTTTTCCTTCTCAACCCATCCTAGGGCTGTCTGTAGGAAGCTGGTCCTCCTCATGATCCTGCCACACCACAGCATTACTTTCAAAATGGAGCAAAGATAAAATCTGTTGGAAGCAATTCAAAACTTTACACTAGCTTTCAATAACAAACTAAATAGAAAATACACTTTAATGATGCAAAACATTTTTAAACTTTCCTTATTGTTATTTACAGTGTCTATCTCTATGTAGCAACACTCTCTCCCTAAATAAATCTCTTCCTTTTCCTTCTGCCCTCCATCTTCCTTCATCTCTTTTCTTTTACCACTAACTTTTTAAATATAAAAAGCTTTAAGGAATGGGTTACTTAATCTCATCTATGTAATGAAGTAGTAATGGAAGAAAGAATAGTAGGCCAAGGGAACAATGCTAAAATTTAAGAGGTATGGGAAAGATATGTAAGTTATATTTCGGTCACTAACATGTCATCCCATTAATATTTAAAATAATCATTCATCATTTATTTGAAAAAGCATACCAAGCCAATCACAAGCTTTCACCAGACTGTATTAGTCAGCTTTGTTTTGCTGTGATCAAAATACCTGGCAACAATAACTTTAAGAAGTTATTTTGGAGCTCATTTTCAGAGGTCTCATGGGGGAAGGGCATTCCTAAGGGAAGCTGCTTCTGGTAAAGAGAAAGGAAGCATAGCGGGGCAGGGGACAGGGTCACAGTGTCCCACCTCCCCCAACTATGTCTCTCTTGCCTACAGTTACTACCGAGTTTGTTCAAACTAGGATGGACTGGTTAGGTTACAGCTTTCACAATCCAATTACTTCCCCTCTGAATATTCCTACTGAAACACAGGAGCTCTGGGGGGACATCTTATTTCAAAACCATAACACTTAATACCAGTTCTTTTAAATTTTCCTCACAAGACTTCCTGAATATCAACTGTTTTGGCTTGGTCCCTGTTTAAATAGTCTTATGTAAATGGTGATCTATATTATCAGTTCTTTTGAAGTAATAGCTCCAAATTATCTCAGGGTTTGCGGGGAGGAGGGGGGGGTCCAACCTATTATAACTGAGTGTCACTCCTTTACGTAAAAGAAATTTCATCAAGTGGACAAAGTGCCTATTCAGCTGTGCAATTCTGGCAATGCATAATCTCTCTTGCCTTGCAGGTATTCAACTTTGATGTGAGCCAGTTGAACTGGTTAGAATACATTGAAAATTATGTTTTGGGAGTTAAGAAATACATATTGAAAGAGGATATGGCTGGGATCCCAGAAGCAAAGCAACACTTAAAAAGGTAAGCATAATTACTCAGGTAATATTTATGGAGCATCTATTGTGTATGTCACTTTGTACCAGATAGAATTTGAGAAGGGAAAGGGAGGAATTAATTTTTCTTGAGCACTTTCTGCAAGTCCTGTGTTCCATACTATGCCCTATAATAATACACTGCTTCATTTAGACTTCACTACACCCCTATGAGGCAGGTATTATTTTCGTTATCCCATTTTTACCACGAAAGTATTTAAGATCAAAAAGGCAAATAACTTATCTGTGGTAACACCTCCTTAGTACAGGAGCCAGATTTAAACCCAAGTTTCTATTTCTTTTACCACACCCTATCATAATGTGATATAAAAAAATATTCCAAAGGCAAGAGACCTGATTATCATATGTAATCCAAGAAAAATCACTTAGCTACTCTTCAGTTCCTTCAACTTCCTTACATTTCTTTCAGCCATAATCCTGGAGGTGCAAATAATAATAGCATGCAGAGTATTTGCAATGCAGAAAATAATAAGAATGGAAAAGCAGATTATAAACAGGAAGGAAATTTGAAAAAAAAAAAAAAAGGCCAAGAACTTTAGAATTTATCCTCTGGTAAACAAGAACCAGTGAAGATTTATGATATGGTAATAAAGTCAAATATATTTTTAAAAGATTATACTGGTCATGTTTGTAAAATAGCTTAAAAATAGAGAGAGATGAGCAAAGAGAATCTAGCTAGAGAAATGATTATTCAGAATGTTGTGGAAATAAGATACAGAAACCAAAAAACCATCAAATCATGCCACATACTCTACTTAATATTTGCTGATTACAACCAGGAAAAGACATTTATGCTTAAGATCACACAGTTGAGTATTTGTACTATGTTAACTTTGGTTATGTCTGTCTGTTCCCCAGGCTCCGAAATATTCACTACCTCTTTAATACTGCCCTCTTTATCATCATCTGGTGCCTTCTCATTGCAAGATCTCAAATGGCCCGGAATATGTGGTTCTTCATTGTGAGCTTCTGTTATAAGTTCCTCTCCTACTTTAGGGCATCCAGAACGCTAAAGATCTAAGAACATTCAACATTCACCTTTTATCTGGAACCTCTTGGATACCTCTCAAAACAGTAAACTGTGGTTCTCAAGATTAGGAAGTAACAAGGAACATGTCCAAGCTGACATATGTCAAATATGCTGTTACGTATTCATCACTATTTCTTAACTGTCTATTTTTATTTCCATGAAAGAAGGAAAGTCACAAACTAGACTATAGCCATACATATTTTAGGAAAAAATTACTTCCAGACTATTTCCTAACACTCTAGTCTAGGCTCTTGCATACTCAATGTGAAAATGCTCCCACTTTTCTTATTTAACTTTTCTCTTTGAGAGGATTAATTTCAACTCAATAAGCAAGGAAGAACATATGGAGAAGCCAAAATAAGCTAAGGCAGTACTGACCCTGGAAACATATTGGGGTAACTGGGAGAAAGGTCTGAACACAAGACAGGTAGAGGAATTGTCATCTCAACACCGTCACAAATGCTGTAAGTTAAACAATTCCCCACTGGAGTGGCTCTCCTTCCTTTCTATGCTGTAACGGAGCCTGGTTAAGGAGTAGAATCAGAAAAGTGAGTTCACATTTACCATTTTTCTTAACTATATCCACTTCTTAAAACTAAAAAAAAGATCAAGAAGTATAAATAATTATGTATAGAATGAGGACTTAAGCATATTTGCATTGGAGAGTCTCACTTACTATGCTTTCAAGTCAACATTAATAATAACATCTCATAAAATTTTGATAACTACTATTTAATCACCAGTTTTATGGATAATCTTTTCTTGTGAGTTTCCTGCTTATTGATTAAAATTGCCAAAGCCCTTATATTTAAGCTTATTTCACTCAGGAGGCATCTATTTGAGTGGCTAAAGGGGAAGGAAATTCCTACACCAGAATCTTAAAAACCCAGTCACCTCATCTTTGCCATTGATGAAAGCAAAATTTCAAGTAAAAATTTAAAATCTAGTTTGTCTTCTTATATAAAGTGGGGAAGATTACTCTTCTGTGATCACCAGAGGATTTATTAGTATCTTGATTATTTCAATTGTACAATGTTGACTGTACAATGTACAGCAGAAAAGTGGATTTCATTAAGTTTAGAGGGTTTTTTTTTGCCTAAAATGTTTTATATAATACAAATTAGTAAAATCTTTATATGCTCTCACATTCCCATAGTAATAACTGTTATCCCAACTTTTCTCATATTTGAGAGTGCATGTTGATTACTTTTCTTCATGCTAAAGACAATATTATTCAAATATGACTTTTGGGATCTAAAAAGTAATCATCACCACACAACTAGTTGAAAAAGTTAATAAAGAATAGCAGTCACATTTATGCTCACCTTCTGAAAAAATTAATTAGTAATACTCAAAAAGGCACATTCTGGTAGTTGAAATATATAAGGCCTTACGACAGTATCATAAAAGGCATTTTGGGGAAACTCTTCTGGGCAATGTTTTTACCAATCTGACATAAGATCTAGGGACTACTTTCTATGGCAGACAACTCAGCTCTGAAACAAAACACCAGTTTGAGATGTCTATATGATACTTTTGAATTACAGTAATACAAACTAGGGATACAGTAAAAATATGAAATCAAGATAAAGTTCAATGGATTGGATTTAAACACAATAATTCTAAGCATTTACTATCTTTTGATTATTGTATGTTGCATCAATTCAGTAACTCCACTGATCAAGTACTCACATTTTGACTTTTGATTAAATAAAACTTTGAATTAAAAACTTCCTCTTCTAGTGTTGTTGTATATTTGTTTAACTGCAGATGATAGCAGATCATCACATAACACCACCCTGCACCCCACCCCAGAAAAAAAGAAATAACCTTCCAAAGAACTCTGTACAAATAAAACCACAGGAGTATCTATAGGATGAATATAAAAATACAGGTACACAATACTTCATTTTTTTTCTGATACCCTTTGTAGGATTACATTTACATGAATGTTTTATCAGTGGCATCAGATAAATGACAGGAATACTGAGTGCTCTTGTGATGATTCAGCAGCAAAAGGTACCTGCATGACAGAGAATCCCTATTATATAAGCAGTTCATATCAGGACCAATTAACAATAACTTGAATGTCTACTATATTCGGAGCAATGGGAAAGAATCTTCTACTTTGGGGAGCAAATAAAAAGTGAAAGTACCTATGTTTAAAAGGAAGTTTGGTAATCCCTATATTCTACACCCACATGATACTTAATATTGTAGTGAGTATTAATTGCCTAAGGCAATTAATACTAGAAAAAAATGAAAATGGGTACACAACTTAGTAAACTTTTCATAGAAATTTTATGCTAACCTAATTTCTAGTTAACATCCCATTTAAATAAATTAAATTCCAAGGTAAATAATCTCATAGCCAGAGCATGTTATCTCATAAAGAATATAAAAATTAGATCAACTATACTTTGCAGAAACACCAATTTTTAAATTAACAGGAATCATATGCAAATTTTAAATGGCTACTTTTCTAGAACTATTCTTCTAACATCTGGAAATATATAAGCAACTGTTTATGATAAGAAGTAATATTTGTCCCATATGCCTACAAAGTTTTAAAAATCTCACTGCCTAGGTTACTTTGAAAAAATATTTTCCAGAAACTAACAAAATAAGAGTAGCACTTGCTGGTTTTAAGATGTTATTGGTTTGAGAGACAGCAATCCCCTAGAAGTATAGCTACTGTTGTAGCAAAGGAGCTTAACTGAAATTGAGTTTAAATAGCAGAAATATCTTTATTGATACACATTTTAGTGAATCCCTATTCTAAAACACTTATTTTAATCTGGAATTGAATATCAGAGGAGAGATGTGAAGTATGGCAACTTGGATGAATTATAAAAAAAATACCTTAAAGAAATTAAAGGTAGGGGTTGGGGGGCAGGCATGACTCAGTGGTAGAGGGAGTGGCTAACATATTCCAAGGCCTGGGTTTGATTACCAACATTGCAAAATAAATAAAATTAAAAACTAAAAAGGTAGTTACTAAAGTGACAACTACCTGAAAAAAGAATACAAAGAATTTGCAATACATTCATTACATATTTATGTAAACTGTTGCTGTGTAATGTGTAAGTTTTCCTTATGCCTTCTGAGTTTTAAAATTACTACATAAATTGCATTAGTTATATTATTGGAAGAGTTAACTTAATTCTTTTGGCTAAACATCCAATATTATTTGGAGTTGCAAAGCAAAATTACTTAAATGTTTTATATTTTATCAATTGTAATCTTATCTGTACTCAATTTTTTACAGACCTATATGAATTAGCTCAACTTTGGTCACTCTTCCACTTTTAACATAGCAGTTTAACTCCATCTAGAGTAAAAGCAAATATAACCAAGTGATATTTAAATATTCATGTAGTTTATGAGAAAAAAAGGTTTAAATATAAGGAATTGAGGTTTATTTGTAGGTACATGATCTTAATTTTCTAAGATTGAAAAAACAAAGAAAATCTTTTATAATTTGTAATTTTATTTAGGGTCAAATGTTTGCAGTTGAGACACTAAATGTTTCCTGTTCTGTTCCTGGGATAAAATTTTTTAAAAATCCAAGGCAGTTTTTTTCACTCTTAAAATAATGTAAGGTGATTTCATCATTAAGAAATATTTCAAAAAGGGGGGGGGGATATAACATCACAATAAGGAAATACTTGAGTATTAATATAGGCATTATAGCATAAGGCAGTAAACATATGGTTTACTACCATTTTTATTTTGATGGTGGTGAAAAAGGTTGACTCCGTTTGGTTTGCTAGAATTCAAGAGAGAAGGGAAAGTACTAGGTTAAATGGCATGCTGAGACTGTAAAGATCCCAGGTTTAAGTAATTTTTAAATGGTTAAAAAATACACCTTGACCTCAAGTATAAACTGAATTTTGATGCAGAAGAGTTACATATAAATTTACTATCCAGTACTTAAATTATGTAAGATTAAAAAGCATGGTATATCTTTACTTCCCATATTAAAATATTAATCATTTCTTTATGAATTCCAAAGTTAAAACTATAGAAGATTATAAATTTTGTTTGTGGCAGTAAATTATTATAAAAATACAATGCTTTCTATCAAAAATGTGCAGGAGAATAATGTATATTAATCATCTGAGAATCAGAAGTAATTTTATGAATTACAGAATTATTAGATAATAATTCTGATTAATATTGAGCTAAGCTTTTCTGAAGAGGTAGTTCTGAAGTGTACAGATACTGCAGAGGTGAATTATTCACCTAAATATTTAATCTTCCTCATAGCTAATATATGAAAACACAGTTTAAAAATTACATTTCAAATAATTTTGAGGTCCCTGATTTTTAAAATATGTATGCTGGAACTTATACATAATAGATTATGAATACCTTAATACAATGAAAAGGAGGATTGAACTAAGTAATAAAGTTGAGTATCAGGGCTAGAGGGACCCACAGGCATAGAGAAAGTTGCATGACTGGTAGGTCAGAAAAGTGCTTTCCAGGATGAAAGTAAAACACTTGGAGAGGACAAAAACACCTAAGGAATCTTAATATATAGTTATACTTCATCATTCGAAGAGCTGGACAGAATTTTAATTCTTTCAATGCCAAAAATATGCCTCTATTTGAAGAGTTTCAGATGAAAATCTTAACTCTGAAGATGTATGGCAAAGCAGAATTTTGAACTAATGAAATTCTTTTACAGTCAGTTTTAATGGGACAGATTAATTTCATTAAAATTTTAATGTGGTATTTAGAAAACATGGAAATAGTTAAAAATCATATAAGTACAAAATAATTTTTAAAAATCTTTTAAAAAGATATTTAACAGCTATAATCCTGAAAGTAACCCTAAATCAGCACTTTCCTCCCATTAAGAAAAAAAAAACAAAAAACCCTCAAAAGTTGATTGAATTTTCTGACAACCAGGTTAAGAAGACCAACAACCAGTCTAAAGTCAGTAGCGAAAATTCTAATTCTCTCCAATTAATCTCCTTTTGAGAAATGTTGTATTAGTTTCTAGACCACCTTTGTTGCAAATAATATTAGAAGAAATAAAAAACACAGAGAAGGCTTGTTCATTATTTGGACTTTCAATTAAAAAATCTTTTAAAACATGTTATGTCACTTATATTTATCAGTTAACATTAGGTCTCTGTGATCCTGTATATTTTAAACAAAGATGCTTCTGTTATTTTAGGCAAAATATCCAAAATATCATTCTACATAAGCCTTACTACAAAATAGTTTTGACCTGGATTTCTCTATGGTTTACCCTCTTTTTAAGGAAGTCTATCTTCCTATTAATTGATGCCACTTCTAACCAAAATAAAAATTATTCTGACTCTGAAAAAAGCAAAACAGCTTTTATCTTTAAAACTTTTTCATTTGAAAAACTATAACTTGTGACCCGCCACTCTCTAAAACCACCATTTTTAATCTAGTTGTTTAAGTCTTATTTGTTAAGGACTAAAATCTTCTGTTAGTCTCATTACCTACCTGGAATTTTGTTTCTCCATTTCCTTAAATGATTTAAACTTTGGGAAATGATTGATGACTCTTCAACTATTATTAAGTATTACAAAAGGAAAACTGATGTTGACATGCATATTCCAAATATAGGTTTTAATGGCACCTACGTGATAGCTCCCTTTCATTATTTTAATCTTTTATATTCTAGAAATTTAAAACCAACCCTTAAAAGGTTATGAAAAAAAAAAAAAAAACAACCTTAACCTAACACAAATCAGTCACATTCAGAACATACTGAATGAAATATTTCCTTCATAATCCAGCTTTTAGTTTAACGGACATTGTTCAATATGGCACCTCTAAAACCTGACATTATCTTGTCATACTTAAAATTTGCTTCATACTTCTAATTTATTTAAATTTACCCTGCTCCCCATTTATCACACGTACAAAATATTCCGGTTTTCCTCTTATTATTAACAAACTGATAATTTTTGCCATCAGAAGTTGATCTTTTTCTTTCTCACCCCCATCACTCAAAATTACCAATAAATAATGATCAGATTAGGGAACAGCATTTTAAAAAAAGAATGTGCTTTCTTTTCCCTAGAGTCTCCACTATACAATCTGTGAATGATATCTCTGTTACATATCATACCACTTACATATCTGCCCTTGGGAGATTTCACCTTAGTCTTCTAAGATTCTACCTTGAATGGTTATAAACGTCAAGAATTAAAGAAAAGCAGTTACTTTCATAAGACCAAAATACTGGATAAAATGGTCTTGTCAATATGGCTTAACATTAATATGGCTATAACATAGGGACTAGTCCCTGTTTTCTTTATTAACATTGTGAACTGATCACAATTTTTTAAAGTCTAGACTAGTTTTCCATATGTTTTACATATTTTTATTCTCACATCATATCTCTTAAAAACAAAAGGACGCAAACATTTGCAGTTATCAATGCCTTTTCCTTTAGATGTGGTTTCATTTCCTTCCTTCAGGCTTTGTTACCAAGAAGTAAGGTTTGAGTTCAACACTGTCCATTTGTTGTGAAAGTATCAGAAGGAGTCATCTTCAAACCAATACTCCAGATGGACTTATTCACTGATTAGCTGCATAATTTCTTCTAGGACATTTGTAACAGACACAACATACACAGGATTTCAGTTTGGGTTGTTTTTTTTCCCTTTTTTTTTTTTTTCTTTTTTAAAATAAGTGTGTTTCCAGGTTCTCACTCATATTTTCTTTTCTTTGAATGTATTGCA